TGTGTGTGTGTGTGTGCGTGTGTGTGTGTGTGTGTGTGTGTGTGTGTGTGTGTGTGTGTGTGTGTGTGTGTGTGTGTGTGTGTGTGTGTGTGTGTGTGTGTGTGTTTCGAGGGTTGCTAAATGTTTTGTGCGTGTGTGTTTATGTTGACAAGGAGGTTTAATAACTGTGTGCTACACAAAACGTGCATTCGGTTTCATTTTCATCGCCGTTTGTAGTAGAGTTAGCAGGGTGTTTTCATTTTAACTCTCGTCCCAAATTCGTCCCAAAATTATTTTTTATCCTCCCCGACACTATTTTTTTCAACGACGGGACGTCCTTAAGCTCGAGCCCTGCCCCTCTCTCTCACTGTCAAAGTGAACCTGTACTGTAAAAACGACACTGCGCATGCTCAGAATATTTTTCTATTCAATGTGTACGGCAAAAAAATAATCACCACTGTGCTGGCATACCTACCAAACGTCATCTCATAATTCAGAGAGCTGATTGGCTGTAAGTACGTGTGCCGCGAAAATAGTATATAGTTGTTTGTAAAGAGACGAGAGAGAGCAGCGTATTGCGATTAAAATCAGTAAAACGGAAAGAAAATGAATGAAGTTGAAGTTGTTACTTCAGCTTTGGTAAGTCATCTTTTGTTGATCTTCTGTGTTTTGCCTATAGGCTATTGCTCTGCTGGATCGATTGATATTGTGACCTTGAAGCTTATATATACACATCTAAGTTGTTCGTGCCCCACCACTTTTGTACATATAACAACGCCACTGTTTATATGTATCGGACAAACGTAGAGTGATTTGAATCTAATCACGTAACTCTTTGCAAGGAAGCAAATTTCCCAAAATGTCAAACTATAAACTTCCTAGGTCCATCCGAACATTGAGAAAATTGGTTTTAACCAGAGGAGCTGTAGCAAAGAGACATTTACATCATAGATAATTGTAAACAAAATGCAACCATTGGAATCTTTTTATCAAAAATATATTCAAAATAGGAATCAGATTTTGTTCACAATGCAGCCATATTCACCCACCCTTTCATCCGTTAGGTGCACAAAACATCGAGATTGGAGTGGACGACGATGGTTTCATATTTCTGGGCTACGAGGCTGAGGGGACGGACGAGGAGAGCAAGTTTCTGTGGAACAAAAACTACACCGAGCCCATTGATGCCCAAAGAGCTCAGGCAGAAAACACGAAGTGCGGGTAAGGCAGACGTGCAGCATGGACTGTACGTCTTTGCTTGTTTCAATCCAAAACACCTTTGGCAGTAGGCAAGAACAATAGAGGATGTTTAGAAGAGCTCATTCAAGTTGTCAGAAATGATTTTTACCCTGCAACAAGGAATACCTTGACTTTTTCAGATTTTGTAGATATTTGTAAACAGAGTTGGGATAATGTTTTGCATGTCACAAGTACAGTATGTCTCAAGTCTTTGCATCAAGTCCCAAGACAAGACTAAAAAGTCACAAGTCCTAAACATTGAGTAAAGAGTCCTAAAACAACATCGAAAATGTGTCTGTCGTTTTCAAGTCTTTGGTGTTAAAGTCCAAGTGAAGTTGCAATAAAGTAATATTTGTCTAAAGTCATCAAATGTGTAACTCTAGTCTGAAAACACCTTAGGTTTTTAAATTCAAAATGAACCAGATCAATTGAATTTGCTCTGTAAAGCACTTTTTTAAAACTGTGTGACCCCAACTAAAGGCCTGTCTCTTTTAAGTTTCCCATTTCTTAGTTTTAGGGAAGCACGCCTGCCTACTGCCTTGCTTATTGACTTATTGTTAAACAATACCTCAACATTTTAGCCGGATGAAAGAAATAAGGATAACTCTATTGGGACAGAAAGACAGCTGTTATCACATACCAGCACCTAAGTCACATGGTGCTGAGGACTGACACATAAACAAGAATCCCAAGCTCCTCCATAGACCCCTGAGTCTGTTCTTCAATGTGTCCCTCAGGTCTGTCCTCACCTTCTCAGACCCCTCTGAGGAGGATCTGGGTCTCTACACCGTGGAGACCAGCGACAACCCAGACCTGTCGTCCAGCTACGACTTCACGGCTGAAGGTAAACTATTGGAGAGTAGAAGGTTAAACCGTCTTGTCTAATTCTCAACTTTTCCTCAGGCACATCGACAACAACAGTTCAGCTTGTGGCAGCATGAAGAGCATTGGACTTTTAATTTTAAGGGTTATCAAGTTTTCCCCTCAAGCAAATAATTATGCCTCTCACAGCCACTTCCACAAGGTCACTGGTTTAACAAAGCGTAGCGATCTCAATCAACGTTCAGCTCCCGTCAACATTTAATTAACCTTCAGCTGCTGTTTTATTCTCTGCAGACCTTGAGAGACTCAAAGAACTCAGCTGGCAAGTCAGAAATCCACGTACGTACCAAAGACATTGCACTGTTTCACAGAGAATGATGATCCGCTGATGTGTAAAATACATATATTTAATTTTAAAGGTAGATCTTAAGCTGGTATCAGAGTCATTTTCTTCATTAAACTTGATACATGTAAAGGTTGACATGTAAATAGAGCTAATTCGAACACATGGTGTACATACAAAGCTAGAGCACGTCCTGTGATGTTTTGTGTTTGCTGACAGTGATAGATCTGAAGTCGGGCTGGCAGGTGGAGGTTTCTGAGAAAGGTGAAGTCCGTCTCTGGCTTCAGACTGAGAGCCTGAGTGATGAGGCTGAGCTGCGTCTCATCTTCAACGATAAAGAAATCAGCAGCTCTCCGGTAGGAAACGCTGTGTCGGTGTTCCTGAGCATGAATCTAACCTCGTCAGGGTTAGGATTTGATATCCACAGTTCTTTAAAACAAATCGTACTTTAAAGTATTTTGGGATAAAGACACAGTTATGCTTATATTCTAGTGTTTCTTTTCTTCAATGAGAAAATGGCAGAATCCTTTACCAGTAGTTTTTTGGATCAAGATATGATTGATATTTAAAACTATTGTACAAGATGTATGTGAGGCCCATCCTGCCTCGCTAAACCATAACTTAAGCAAATCTTGTCACCACTGCAAAAGGGTTAAAGTTTGCGAGAGATACTTAAAGGTGGAGTATGTAATTTTGGAGAAACCAGCTCGAGTGCGTTAGAATTTGAAAGTACACAACCGGAAAAAATCTGCCTCTTCCTTCAGACTTCCTTACAGAGCCCCTCCTCCAACACACACGAACGCGCACATGACCAATGAGGGCACGAGATAAGTTTGTGCACAGATGGAAGGCTGACAGGCAGGTAGGCCATCCAGTTACTTTAGCCGGGCCGGCTCAGATGATTGGTCGTGCTTTTTACAGCGCTACGGCTTCCACTGATGACATTTTTTAATGTATTTATTGTCAAAGCACTTAATACTGTATATTCATTGCTATCGGGATGTTAAGAGCATTCCATGGAATATAACAAAAGGTGTTTCTGAAATAAATGTCATACCCCACCTTTAAGTTAGGTTAAAGAGATTTACGTGGCGTTAAACACTGGTTCTTACATTTCCCATGACTGTGAGTTGTTAGCAGTTCCAGAAACTTGAAATGTTCTGGTAATCTTCTCAGATGGTTGTATTAACATAAATCTTTCAGGTTCAAAGAGTTCCAACTCTCCAACATATGTAAAAACAAAAACAAAGATGTCCCCAAAAAATAAACACAGAGATATATTTCGTGTCACATAACTCATTTGTTCCTTTTTACTTAATGATTAAGCATCTTACAACCCCTCAAGTTTCTTTTGTTGTGATCTTTTTATAAATGACAGCTATTTGAATGTCAGTGCTTCCTCCACCGTAATAAAATGAAATTCAGTCTGAAAACCTTCCCTTTTTGAAGGTTTAAATATGTAATTAAATATCCAGTCAGCTATTTAATGTGCAGCTCTGAAGTCTGTCTATTTAGTGTTGAAAGCATTTCAATCACAGATGTTCTGCAACTTTACCAAGGTACATTAAATTAGTGTGCACCTGCATGCAGCTGCGATTCTGACAAGTCACTATGAATCAAAAACAGCAATTAGTGTTGTGATAGGTGTGCACGGCAGCACAAAGGTCTGGAGACTGAGCTAATAAACAAAGTCTGTGAGACTTGAGGAGCAACTGAGCTTAATGTGGAAAGGAGCAACATCTGGTACAAGTGTCCATTTTGGTTAGATGCCCAAAATGTAAAGGTGGACAGCTTTCTTATTTCGGTAGTAAACTGTAAGGTAAGGTACGTTTATTTATATAGCACATTTCAGACGCAGAGGCAATTCAAAGTGCTTTACATGATTATTACACAATAAATAAACATAATGGAATAA